AATGTATAAACTCCAGTTAATGATTAATAGATTACTACATTAGTTGAAGATTATTTAATAGTCAGTTAATCATGATTCATTCGACTTACTATAGACAGCTTCAATAGTGAAAGGAACATCCAGTTTGCTGCTGGACTCCAGAGCTCCGAGGAACGCAGCAGCATCATCAGCGCTCTGGAAACACTCGTTGGACTGCTGGAAGCACTGACGGTTGTCCATCTCCAAGTGGACAATTGAGCTTTAGGGAGAACAGAAACAGACAGGAGTCTTTTTAATCTTTATTCACAAAGTAAAACGGCCTTAGTGACTGTTTTTAATTTAGAAAAGTTGTAAGAATAGGTGAGTAAAAAGATAAAGCATAAAAATAACTACTTTTACACTCTTTAACTGTAGGAGTTCAAATAGATTAAAACATGTAACAAAATTGAAGCAATCAGAGAAAGATTTTGTTCTTTTTTCTCACCCTTTGATTTGCAAATGATCCAGCTCCCTCCTCCCTCTGATCCTGCCACCTGCCACGTCATACAGACTCCTCTTCATCACAGTTAGCATCTTGTCAGGAATCTCAGACCAGGAATCCACGGATCGCTTAACGGTGTACTTCTTCAGCTCATGCTCGTTCCCATAGTATGGGTAGACCATCGTCTCCCCCTTCGGGTCCTTCCTGAATATCACGTTGGTTCTGAGGACGCGGCTCAGCTCGCGCAGGAAGCCGAAGGAGTTGTTCAGGAGATGCTCGGGGGTGATGTGGACGACTAGAACCAGTTGGCCCACTGCGAGCTTCTCCGGCATGTTGTTGGCACAGTCCAAGCCGTCCCACTCGCACTCAGCATTATTGCAACCCTGGTCACAGTGGCTGTCCGCATAGTGATCTTTACAGTACTGGTCATACAGCGGGCTAGAAGGAAAATGGCAATTAGGGATAACATTTTTACACTTTCCTGTGAAATTGAATCTGTTTCACATTAGATGCTTACTTGCACTGTCCTTCCAAAGTTTGGCAGTCAAAGCCGTCGTAGAGGCATCCAGCATTGTCACACTGGGAGTCGCACTTCCCATTGTTGAAGTACTTCCAGCACTGCAGCGCGGCTGAGCAGTTCTTCCACGGGTCGTCGAAGCTGAGCGAGCAGTCGCCGTTGTCCCAACCACACGCATGGTTGTTGCAGATTGTGTCACAGTGCTTGTTGTGCTTGTTCTCCTCGCACTGCGGGATGCTGCACGCCACCTCAGGGTCCGCCGCCAGGATGTGGCAACGGAGGCCGTTGAAGTTGGCGGGGCAAACGCAGCGGTAGAAAGGCGCCTCGGCAGCGTGTTCACACGTGCCCCCGTTGTAGCAGGGACTGGATTTGCACGCGCTGTCAGTGGGGTGCTGACACTCAGGCCCGGTGAACGAAGGCAGACACAAACACTTTGGGCTGTTGTGGCCAGAAATGCAGGTGCCTCCGTTGCGACATTGGAGGCTGCCGCATGTTTTGGAGTCATATTCGCACGTGGAGCCAGTGAAGCCCTTTAACATCAAACACAGAAATTGTTGTTTCTCTTTAACCGACAATGAATATATTTTTCCTTTATTTCTACTGTGATGATAGTAAATTTTGGATAAATAAATGCAGAAATACAGATAAACAGAAGGGTGCAAATATTTTAAGCTTATTAAAGAGTAAATGTCTACCAGAACCGTCAATTTCTGTTTACCCGGATTAAAAGTAGCATTTTTACTATTAAGTCCAAACGGAAACAGAAACATATGTAGCTAAAACAGTGACAGTTTGCATTGGCATTAATTTGGATTTTTAAAATAAAACAGTGAAAAACTTTACAATTCAAGATTTTTTAAATCAAAATTACAATTTACTATTACAATTACAATTTAATTTATTTTACTAAAAAAGTAAAAAATGACTATGCTCTCATTTGATTTTGATCTTTTTTTTTTTTTCAAATCAAGCTGGGACTGTTTCGGATTAGGGGGCGGGGCTAAACGATAGGCTCCTTCAGTGGTCTTCCGTTTTTCCGGTACTCTTGTCATCTACTGTACCTACAGTGAGTTTATAGAAGGCTTCGGCTCAGACACTGCTACCTAATCACAAGTAATCATTATTATTTTCAGTACTTGAATAAACCAACAAAAGTTTCAGTAATTTCCCCACTAGATGTGGATGAGATACAAACTTTCTCTGTAAATGTTGTGTTTCTGCATTTAAAATCCCTTGATCTGCAGCAAGGACACTCGCTTTTAACACCTAGGGAGAAAAACCAGGGTTCTTCTCTACTGTATTAAACTAAACAGTGGTCTTGAGAACATTTAATGTCACTTTTACTGGTAGCTAAACTTTCTGACTTTTCATTGTTTGGATTTTCAGTGTTTCGTGCTTGAGTGTTTTGTTTTACAATGTCAAATCTCTTTTTCGATGTCAATGGTTTAGCGCCATAGAAACACTTCTTATTTTTTAGGCATTGTTTCATATTTTATTAAGGCTGTACCCATGGTAACAGTGTTCTTTTTGCACAATAAAATCTCTAACCTTGAGGATGGAAATAATATTGACCCTAAAGACAAACTAGAATCTGGGCCTGATTCTGTAACATGAAAACAAAGAAATAAATATTATCCCTGTAAAATACTATAATATTCCTGGACATTAGCAGTACTCACAGAGGGACAGTTGCAGATGAAACCATGTGGCGTGTTACTGGCCACAGCACATGTTCCTCCATTGCGGCAAGGTTTACTTTTACAGCCATTAAACACTTGGTCGCAGCGCTGGCCTGCAGAAAAACATCAATCAAAAAGAAAAAAAAAAGTTTTCTGTTAGCTAATATGTAGAAAATCCTGTCCTGCTCCCAAGGATCTTGTCTACCTTTAGTCCATTAGCTACAGTAAAGATGAGTTCAATCAAAATCTGGAAGGGATAGTTAAATTATTGTTTGAAAAAAGATGAGTTTTAGTCTCAAACTGACCTGTGTATCCGGTGCGACACTCGCAGCGGTAGTTGTTGGTGAGTTGAATGCAGCTTTGCGTGCCCCGAGGGTCACAGGGGTTGGACAGACACTCGTTGACATCCCCCTCGCATCGCTCCCCCACATAACCAGCAGGGCAGATGCAGGTGTAGCCTCCCACTCCATCCACACACCTGCCGTTGTTGAAGCACTTCGGCTCTTTGGTGACGGGGTCAGTGGACGGGTTACAGTCATCGATGTTGATCTCACAGTGGACGCCTAAGGAATGTGAACGATAAGATTGGAGAGCTTTCACTCCTTCGTACAAAAAGGAGATTTGCATGTTTGCTGTTCCATGCTGTAGATGTTATTAGCAATTAAAATCTATAAGTTTAGAGTACATTTAAAAATTACTTTTAACTATTGACAGTATAAAAGAAGGAGCCATAGATCAGCAGTCATAATTAAACCACAGACTGATGAATATTCATGCCAAAAACTCCCTCTGCCACCTTTTAAAACCTGTGGGCTGCTTTGGGCTGCTCACAATTCAGCTGCCGATTCAAGCTGACCCGCGACACGCAGGCTGCTTCATGTCTGAGAGAGAAATCAATGGCAAATTTGACAAGAGGAGGAAGAGTTGGAGGCAGGCTGAAAGGAGGGAGTTTAATGCCCTGGATGCTGTTAAGCCCTAATTAATGAAGCGTGGAGAAGGGAAAGGCGGCGAGGGATAAGAGGGGTGTGTGTGAGTGTGTGTGTGTGAGGTCTGCTGACCTTGGGTTCCTCGGGGACAAGAGCATTTGTAGGTATTGATCAGGTCAATGCAGGTCCCCCCATTCTGGCACGGCTGGGAGAAACACTCATCGATCTCCTCAGAACAGTTAGGCCCCAAGAATCCCTGCATGCACTGCGGGACGGAGGGAGGAGGAAGACGAAAGAAGGAGAGGAGAAGGTCTGATCAATGCCTGACATGAAACAACGGTGGGTTTTTGTTTACCTGGCTGTTTTCGGATTTTATCCTGCCAAGGCCAGCAAATTCTCCTCTCCAAGGAAGACTAACACAACCTGACACTTTATTAGGTGTGGTCCTGAGATATGCTTTTGCTACTTGCAATGATTGGCAGCAACATTAAAACAATGAACAGCTAGGCAGTTAAAATTTAAGGATGATTTATCAAGGAGTAACGATGACTGCTGCCTAAACATTGCCACAGATAGCTGCTCAGAACTAACTCAGGCTCAGGTTTGCTCGTCATTAGACATCAAACACTTTATTTAAATAGCGGAGCTCTGGGAGAGACGCTGGGCCGCAGCGGAGTACCAGGACAGCTTTGCGTTTAGGGTTGTTACCTCACAGGAGTATCCACCCAGAAAGTCTGTGCAGGTGGCTCCGTTCTGGCAGGGGTTGGGTGTGCATTCATCCACCTGCTCCTCGCAGTAGCTGCCAGTGTATCCAGCCTGACAGTGACAGTAGTGGACGTTTCCCGCATCCAGACACTGACCCGAGTTTTGACAAAGTTGGGAAACTGCAACTCCTGAGCAGAGAAGGTGAGATAGAGTTAGTTCACATTTAATACAATTCCCTTTGTAGGAAGATGCTGAGGTTTTATCTCCCTCATACCTCTTTGTTTGGCTGCAACCTCACAGGAAACACTTGGGACGTCACAGTAAAGGCCCGTCCAGCCGGTCTCACACTCACAGCTGTAGGTGGTCCCTCTCTGCCAGCAGGTTCCTCCGTTTTTACAGGGAGATGTGTCACACCAATGTACCAAGCTCTGAAACACAAATTGGACTGAAAGACTTGCACTTGTTTGACGAAAACATGATCACATGCTTATCTTTTACGTTGACCTGACCAACAAACAACCATCAGATTTCTACCTGACAATTGAATCCTGTGTAACCATGGGGGCAGGTGCACTTGTATGTGCCGTAACTGTCCTGACAGGTGCCGCCATTTTGACAGGGTTTAGAGTCGCACTCGTTGATATCATGCTGGCAGTAGCTCCCAGTGAATCCCGGTGGGCATAAACAGGTGAAGGTGTTTATGCCATCCACGCAGGTTCCACCGTTGAAGCAGGAGCTGAGAGGGGGAAAAAAAACGAAAATTTTAAACGAAACAACCAGAAAATTTATTTTAAAAGGAAAGAAAAAAGATATATATATAAATTTGAGCTTCCAGGAAGGAATGCAACTAATCTTTGCTTCTATTGTTACAGGAATGTTCTACTTTAGGTTTAAAGTTTTCAAGACATTAAGAAAACCCCTTCTTTTTTACAGATACATCCCTTACTTCTGTTTTCAATAGAAGAAGTGCAGTAAAACAATACTCCACCACAGGGGGCAGCAGTGGACAAGAAAAGAAGAATTACATTGCAGCAGAAAATGAACTTGCTAATGAAATCACATCCTTTCCTGTCTTTCCAATCAAAGTCAAAGCTGCACAACTGGTCGGCCTTTTAGCTTGTGAGAGCTCCCCACCTCTCTGTGCAGTCAGGAGTGTTGTTTTCACAGTGGATCCCACTGAAGCCAGGCGGGCAGGTGCAGGTGTAGCTGTTCACGCAGTCTGTGCAGTTGGCTCCATTCTTGCACGGATTGCTCTCACACTCATTGATATCTTCTTCACACTTTGGTCCCCGGAATCCAGGCAGGCAGGTACACAGGAAGCTATTAACCTCATCCTTACAAATGCCTCCATTGCTGCAGGGGTCTGTGGGGAGAAATGCTCAACTCAGAAAAGCTCAGGTTCGACTCTCCTGCAACATAACTAGAACAAAATAACTTTCCACATAAGGTGAAGGGATAGTAAACTTACTGGGTTTGCAGTCATCAATGTTGGTCTCACAGTTGCGTCCACTAAAGCCTGGTCTGCAGCTGCAGTGGTAGCTGCCTGGTGTATTCTGGCAGGTTGCTCCATTGCGACAAGGATTCTTCACACACTCTTTGATGTCCACCTCACATGTTTGGCCTTAAAGCCACAAAAAAAAAGAAGAAAAACAGCAGTAAGTCATGCTGGAAATAATATCTATTTCTATGAAGTTACGTAGGACTACATAAAATGGTCAATGAGTTGTGTTTTCAACATATTCCCTAATGTCTATATGTGTATCAATTA